CTAATTTTTGAATTTTCAAAATATAAACACGATTTTTGAATTGGTGTAAAATAAACACCTTATTTATGAATTTTTCTCATAATTAAATTAATTTAATAGTGCTTGGATTTGACTTTTTTGTTTCAGATTTTTTTGGAGAAATGCTATTCATCCTCATTGGGGATGTATCCCCAGTCTATGTGGTGTTAATGTGGCATTAAATGATAGGTGAAATTAAATTAGTCACTTAATTTCACCTATTATTTAACCAATCATTTAAATTCATATAGACTGGAGATGCATCCCCACTGAGGATGAATAGCATTTTTCATTTTTTTGTGACCTATTTTTTCTACAACTATTTGAGTTTTTACTCGTAGTTCATGTTTGCCTACTAATTCATGGCATTAAATTGTAACTACCACATTATATCGCATTAAATTGTAACTACCCTATTACATACCCCGCACTCACTGTTACCTTAAGAAGTTGACTTATAGTTACGTAGTACGAAGTTGATCGATTGATCGTCCGGGTGTTTTATATTTCTTCTTTGACTATTCTCCCACCTCCAAAGCTTGCTTTTTCAAAATTATCTTCCTCTATCAAGTCTGGACGACGACTTTCATCATCACCAATACTACTTTAAGGTGAGCTTCTTGTCTTATTTTCATGGATTATCCTCAGAGACATGCTTATTTATTGTATTGATAATTTTCTGTCCTCTTTTATTTGATTTTTTCTATTATCTTTTTACAGAAGAAGTTTCTCTTCTTTTAATGATTAAATCTTTATCAGTGACGGGAATTCTTGAGTTTTAGACGTTAATTAGTTTTCATACTTGTTGTGCTTGACTTGACCAGTTTTTGATCTGTTGCTTATAAAAATCAGATGGTCTTGTTTTTATATTAGATGCGAATCAAAGGGTCATTTCTTTTTCTAATTTTTTGTTCTGTAAATTCAAACCTTGTCCCTGCTGCAAATGATCAGACGAGGTAATAAGTTTAGATGTTTGAGAAGAACAATGAAACTATGTCCAATAACTTTAGTTTTCTTCTTTACTGCTTTGAGTTCTATTTATTTCATGTTCCCAGTATCTAACTTTTTAGGTCAATTATTTGTCCTGTGGGTTTATCTAATGGGCAAATCTCAAAACTCAATATGGAAGCTTATTATTAATTTCTTCTTAAATCTAGTTATCTTCTTTACTTAATTTTTTAGTTCCTAAATTTTCAGCCGTGATACTGTAGTGTTTTATTCGGTTACCGAGGTCAATTATCACCATTGGCCTGTCCAGTTTCTTTGGTGAAATCATATGTAGACATTTTTTTTTTGCAACGGTTCAGGTTTGACGGGGCAGAGATTTTATCTAAATTGCAGTTTGGTTGGCGTAAAGAGGTGGTCTAATGCGTTGTTTTACTATCTGTTGCAGTCGCGATGCTTCTTCGCCAACTAGGCAAAGAGTAAATATCGATGCAGGTAGACTTCAGATAGTTAATTTCTTGCTCTGTGTCCTGTCAAATCATGTATTCCGAAGAACAAATGCTTAGTATTTTTATACATTTTTTCACGTGCAAGTCAACTCGTGTTCTTTATACTTAATGAGAATTTCTAACGGCATTAAAAATGAATGCAGAAATTTCAGATGTTGAAAATGCTAAGTTATACAGTTACAAAGAGTTAAAAATTGCGACTGATAATTTCAATCCGGCAAATAAAATTGGGGAAGGAGGCTTTGGTTCCGTCTATAAGGTACTTGTGCATCATCTTACTTGCTCCTAAGTTGTGAAAGATTGGTTTACATCACATGATTACTGTTCAAATTTGTACTCAAATCATATTCTAATTGTCAGGGTAGGCTAAAGGATGGTACCTTGGCTGCCATTAAGGTTCTTTCCGCTGAGTCACAGCAGGGTGTGCGGGAGTTCTTGACAGAGATAGTGGTGATATCAGGCATCGAACATGAAAACCTCGTGAAATTGTATGGTTGCTGCGCAGAAGAGGATCATCGAATATTGGTGTATGGCTATCTTGAAAATAATAGCCTCTCTAAAACTCTTCTCGGTAATTTATAGCATGTGAACAATTTGAAACTGGTGATCCTTTTCTTATGTCAAATTAATAATGGTTAACTTTAAATGTAGGTGGTCGCTACAGCGGCATTCAATTTAGCTGGAAAACACGGACTAAAATCTGCATAGGGGTTGCAAGAGGGATCATGTTCCTTCACGAGGAAATCCAGCCTCACATCGTTCACAGAGATATAAAAGCAAGCAATATTCTCCTTGATAAGGATCTCAACCCGAAAATCTCTGATTTTGGTCTTGCAAAGCTTTTTCCAGATAATCAAACTCATATTAGCACACGTGTTGCAGGAACTATGTAAGTTCACATATCCTATTCATGGTATTAGAACTAGTAATTGATAAATCTTTGGTATGAGAGTCATCTTGATATATTTATAATTTAGCAAAATACCGGAGACATGTCAAGTGGGCAGGAGAGACCTTAACATGTGTTCACGGTAGTTAACTCAGAAACTTAAATATTTGGGTTCATAATAGACAAACAGAAATTCACTCTCCCGTGATTCTACGAGTAATTAATGTTCCAATAATAAGAGACATAAAATAAAAAAAAAATTGGTATTATACGTACCAAGAATCATATTTGTGTTCTTCTAGTTTCTAGAATATGTGTAGAGCCCCCCCTCCCCCTCCCCAACCCCAACCAACTACTGAAAGAAGAAGAGGCTGACTATCTTTCTTAAAGTCATGACTTACAGATATTTGTCCGAGCTTGGCTTGTTGACTGTGGTGTCTTCTGTAATTGTGATTGTGAATTCATATGTATTTACATGGTTTTTGATCTTCAATTTTCTAGAGGTTATATGGCCCCTGAGTACGCAAGTCGAGGCCAGTTGACTCGGAAAGCAGATATATATAGTTTTGGTGTTCTCCTCATGGAAATTGTCGGTGGAAGATTCAACACGAACAAGCGATTGCCTTCTGAAGATAAACATATTCTTAGAAGGGTATGACTTGCATCTTTCTGCCTGGAGTCATAATAATAGAATTGTTTTCTTGACATACGAGCAGATGAAGTTATGATTAATGAACAAGTAAATGGTAATCATAGTCTTGGCCTACATGTTAAGCTGATAAATGAGGTACTTTTTCTTGTGAAAGATGAGCATAATATCAGGAGCCAGTACATGTACAATTGGACTGTTGAAATAGATTGTCCAGTTAAAAACTTGTGTATGTATGCACCATTCAACTGGTTTTCCAATTTCACTTTTTAGCTAGGCACGTACTTTACACTTCCTAATGAAAAGTGAACTTCCTCGAAACACTCTGGACCATGGATTTTCCCTTGAACGCATGAATACGTTCCTCTCAGCTCTAGGAAAGAATGATGGGTGTAACTGAATAATGAATCATTACTGGATTTCTGCTTTGTCATGGAAGTTGGCTTTGAAACTAATTGGTGTTGATGTTGATTATGCTAACCTTGTCCGGTGAAATGGCTTGACCATAAATACAATGCACTTGAACCTAATTGCACTCTCTCGTCATTTTTCCAGGCATGGCGACTACATGAGCAAGGGGATCTGGTTCACTTAGTGGACACGGCACTTGAAGGGGATTTTGATGTTGATGAGGCTCACAAATATCTGAAGATTGGTCTTTTATGCACACAAGAGAAGCCAAACAACAGGCCATCCATGTCTAGCGTAGTGAGAATGCTGACAGGAGAGATGGTTGTGGATGAAAAGACTATATCAAGACCAGGGCTGATGCCGCAGTTTGCGCCTATGGAGAGTTCTCAGAGTAATATATCATATACATCTTCACCTGGCTCGGGAAAGAAAGATATGTTATTGTCGTCCCAGAACACAACTATGACATATGCCACCATGTCTTACACTTCGATATATGATAGGAGTAATTGAATTGTAAACTATTTAACGAAGGGGCAATTTGTTTTCTTGTTGATCCCCCCGCCCCCTCGAAGTTGTACATTTATCATTGTTGAATTATCATTTATTTTATTTTACCTTTATCTTATTTATCTTTCTCTCTTTCCACGTGTTCTGTTTCTTTATTTCTGATAGTTTGTTAGGTGTGCTGTCCTCCTTTTATTGGCTGGTTTCTGTATACGACCGTGCTACTCGTCCAGGGGTTGGGCGGACCGACTAAAAAATAGGGTGACGTGTCGGTACTGTTTAAAAAAAAAAGGTTCAAAACCAACACACCCAGAACACAGTTGCCCTACCCACAGAAGATCCCAAAATCGAAGGCGAAACCCCACCTCGCAGAAGCTACCAAAATCGAAGGAGAAAATCCAAATCCAACTCAGAACGTGCCATCTCCGGTGGCGCTCGACCTCATCCGAAGCCATCTCCGTCCCTTAAACTCAAACGTGCGCTTATCAGGTACTACGGTGTGTCGTAATGAAAACGATTGTGATTTTTTTTCTTGGTGTTTCGTAATGAAAACGATGTT